TAACTAGTTCAAAAGCGAAATTAAATCAAATATTTTTACACCCTGTGCTCTTAATGTTTGTAACGCCACAAAACTTATTAATAACAAACTATAAACATTCTAACGTATTCATATCCAAAGAAATCAGCTCAATTATATTAAAGCTGACAAAAACAAAGAGTTATCTTAAAACAAGAGCAACTCAGTATTACACTTAAAAATGAATAAAATTTATTCAGTGTAAAATAAATACAGTTTGTTGTTAAGGGAAACGTTGTGTAATGGGCTATGTGTGCTGTACCCACTATAAGGATCATATCTTGAATTTTATACTTATAATCTCTAAACCAGATTACTCGAAGAAGCATGTTTCGAGATAAAGTTTCTTTGTGTATGCTAAATGTTTCAATGCCTACTGAAACAAGGAAACATGCTTCTACACTACATGTGCATGGAATTTACTCTGAGAAACATTTTGCTTTTGGCCAATCAGGAGAGACTCTTTGAGCATATGGCATATCCATCATGTGACTATACAAGATGTGAACCTCTACAAAAACTAGAAAGTTTGGATATTTATTGAAATGAGTCATTTTATTGATATGTATTGTGACCTGCCATGTTTGTTCAATATTGATATGTATTGTGACCTGCCATGTTTGTTCAATATTGATATGTATTGTGACCTGCCATGTTTGTTCAATATTGATATGTACTGTGACCTGCCATGTTTGTTCAATATTGATATCCTACTGTGACCTGCCATGTTTGTTCAATATTGATATGTACTGTGACCTCCATGTTTGTTCAATATTGATATGTACTCTGACCTGCCATGTTTGTTCAATATTGATATGTACTCTGACCTGCCATGTTTGTTCAATATTGATATGTACTGTGACCTGCCATGTTTGTTCAATATTGATATATACTGTGACCTGCCATGTTTGTTCAATATTGATATGTACTCTGACCTGCCATGTTTGTTCAATATTGATATGTACTCTGATCAACCATGTTTGTTCAACGTGAAAGGCAAAGATTAGCATGGTCGTAACCTTAAAAAAGGCTGCTACAGTTGGAACAAATTGTGAAAATGTGTATTATATAGAACTCAATGGAGGTTCATTTTAATCTTCCATACATTCATATATGACAGAGTGATATGTGTATGTAAAATATTTTTATATTCAAATACTTTTTATTATTCATGTTTAAATTGTTTTTCTATTGTCCTGTTCAGCATACATGAGACAGACGAACACTCGGACAAACACCACGGTTCGCATATTATATAAGATTATAGAGCTACTCATTCATTAACCATGGTTGGTATGCTCTGTAGTTTTAGTCTCGTGGTCGGGGAGAGGGCGTAACGCGTTACTGGCCTATCAGTCCTGGAATAAAATGACAGAGAGTGACAGAAAAGTTGAAGAAGTATGAAGTTATTGACATAATTCTTAGCTAAATTATAAATGACATGATGTTGGTATTAGTATAAACTTTAGCATGATCCAATTTTATTTTAATACCTGCTAAGAAATAACCTTCATATAAAAAGTATCTTCCAGCAGTCGTGGCCGAGTGGTTAAGGCGATGGACTAGAAATCCATTGGGATATTCCCGCGTAGGTTCGAATCCTACCGACTGCGATATTTCATTTTACTTATTTGAATGATTATTTGGCCAAAATACTATTTGTTTTCTCCAAAAGAAGTAATCAAGAAGTTTTAAACATAGATCCTAAAGAATAAAAATAATATACATAGTGACGAAATTCTTACATATGTAATAAAAATTATTCTGTATAAACAGAACATTGAATCATCACTAATCTTTTAATAATCAGAATCCTTGGAGTTCATATCTTTAAACTTTAGTTTGCAAGAAACTAAATCTAAACGTCCTAATATAAATATTAGTTATCCTTGATATATTCTAAGATACACTTTCTCATATGATACTTAACTTTGTAAGGGATGGCTTTAGAAGTACTGACCGAAATTAGTTCATAAAATTGTCAGTGAAATAGTCGAATAAATACAATAGATCGAACAATTCGATTTCTCCGAATGTTTTAAAAAGTTAATCACTCGCAGTTGGTAGGATTCGAACCTACGCAGGAAAATCCCAATGGATTTCAAGTCCATCGCCTTAACCACTCGGCCACAACTGCTGTCGAAATATTATATTGAGGTAGTGATATATCTTACTTTAAAACAACATATTAACAGTTCTTTAACTATATGTTCTAGTAAATCAAAACATAGTAAAGGATAACCGAACATTTTCGGTGTTCCCATCTATTATGTTGAAGATTAGTAGAAGAAATTAATTTTTCTGTGTCGTCTGTAAATTCCCATGACTACACAATATTAACTGATGTTAAAGGACGGCTGAGAAAACCTGGTACACTGATCTACAGAATATAAATTGTAAAAATGATGTTTTTTCAATTGTTCTATTTTTCTGAAGGCGAACGTATTGGATATAACACCCCAGGTTAGATGTCACAGTGCTCTCTCTAACAGCTGTTGCACTTGTCACACCCATTTCCACACCATTGTTTGACTAGGATTTGGTTGTCGCATAAAATGATAAAAAGACAATAAAAACAGTTTTGTATAATTATCTCATCTTTCAATATTTAATAATCATGATTTCATAAGTTTAAATAAACTAAAGAATAAAGATTTATTTATTTGTTGTACACAAATATTGGAATCTTACCTGTGTTGAACGATTTCTTTTTATTCTATATAATACTTGTTTTTACAGATTTTAGTTCTTCCCCGTTTGCTTCAGTTTAACATGGGAAGACCATTCGTTTCGTCTATAGACTCACATCATGCACGTACCGATTTAGAACAATCCCTGATGAGGGCAAGTACTTTTGAGTCGAATAAAATACAGTTTATATTTGGAGTTTTAGGTTGTTTTTAATTGGAAGAAATCACTCTTATATCCGTCTTCAGACTATGTGTTACAAAATAAAAACAAAGTTTTAAAAAATCCCGTAGTAAATACACGTGAAGAACAAGCTTAAAAAAATAAGAACACATCATGTGTCATTACGACAATATTGAGATACAATGAAGTATATATAATCATAATAACTTTTATGATAATTCTTCTTCAAACATGTTCATTCTTATAGTAAATTTCCAAGAGTGGAGAATTCAAAGCTTATTCAACAAATATTAAATTGTGAAGATAAAACCAAACATAAATTATTATTATTAATCAAACCTCTTTATGAATGAAATGCATAAGACTTGGCAATTTGTTGTTGAATTTAGGAATGGTTTCTATGATACCACAATACACAAATGAAGCGAGAGCCCACACTGAAGCAGAGCTAGAGTTGTTTCAAAAGACCATTTTTAGTCGGTAATATCATTTAAAATGTGGGGCGGGTAGTTATTTTTTTACGCTACTCGAGGACTATCTGCGCTAACCGTGCCTAATTTAAAAGTTGTAGACTAGAATGAAGACAATTAGTCAGTACCGCCACCTCTTGGGCTATATTAGTCAAGAAGTGGGTTCAACCGTGACTTTTAACGCCCCCAGGACTAAAAGAACTAGCATGGTCGTTCATGGGGTTTAAACATGCGAAATTTCGAAATATTTGCGATCAAAATATTTCGTTTGTGAGAATTATAATTGTGGATCCAATTGCGTAACAGGAGAGCGTATTCGACCTAGTAGTTAGCTCCCAGGTGGATCAAGTTTCTGTAATAAGGATTGCTCGGAGTTTAATTCTGAAGCATCACGATTTCCGATTGAGAAGGTACTTTCATTACTGACTACATTTGAAATTGGAAATGTGATGAGGTTCATACTACAGACGTGGATCTTTTTGTTCTTTTTAGGATAAGGGCCGTAAATTCATTTCCAGCCTTCGTTCATTAAGGCATTGAAATCAACTGGAATGTTCTCTTGTAAGTTCGAATTATCACCATTAAGTAAAGGGTAATATTTTCATATATGTACCCACGTTCTCCATACACACTATTATTTCTTCCACAATCACATTGTAGAGAAATTCCTGTAAACAGTACTGAATAATTATATTCTCAGTTCACACTGGGGCAGTTACTGGACTTTCCGCACAACACCCTCTGAAAAGAGTTTAGAGTTGAACTGTACAATCGAAATGATTCACCATATATACAACATCACTGAGAAAAGAATAACATTTTATAGTTCAATTGACCAGTTTCTCTAAACCATTCACGGTTCTTTATCATTTATTAATATTTACTATGGTTATAAGAATTTCTAGATGTCACAGAAAAATTAATTAACCCTTTCGAGAATTTCAAAAGATCTGCTGTTTCTTATAGAGAAGATGTTTCGAGATATAATTTAACAGGGCATCACAAAAGTTTTTGACATAATTCTTAGCTAAATAATAAATGACATGATGTTGGTATTAGTATAATCTTTAGAATGACCCAATTTTATTTCAATTCCTGCTAAGAAATAACCTTCATATAAAAAGTATCTTCCAGCAGTCGTGGCCGAGTGGTTAAGGCGATGGACTAGAAATCCATTGGGATATTCCCGCGTAGGTTCGAATCCTACCGACTGCGATATTTACTTATTTGAATGGAATGCTTTATAATTATTTTCTCTAATAGAAGTAATGAAGAAGTTTTAAATATAGAACCTAAAGAATAAAAATAATATACATAGTGACGAAATTCTTACATATGGAATAAAAAAAGATTCTGTATAAACAGAACATTGAATCACTACTAATCATTTAATAATCAGAATCCGTAGAGTTCATATCTTTAAACTTTAGTTTGCAAGAAACTAAATCTAAACGTCTTAATATAAATATATATTATTAGTTATCCTTAATATGTCCTAAGATATAGTTTCTTATATGATATTTCACTTGGCTTTAGAAGAACTGATCGAAATTAGTACATAAAATTGTCAGTGAAATAGTCGAACAAATACTATAGATCGAACAATTCGATTTCTCCGAATGTTTTAAAAAGTTTATCACTCGCAGTTGGTAGGTTTCGAACCTAAGCGAGATTATCCCAATGGATTTCAAGTCCATCGCCTTAACCACTCGGCCATAACTGCTATTGAATTGTTATATTGAGATAGTCATATCTTTTACTTTTATAACAACATATTAACAATTTTTTAACTATATGTTTTCTAATAAAACAAAACATAATGAAGGATGTCCGCATAATCTTCGGTATTCCCATCCATTATGTTGAAGATTAGTAGACGAAGTTCATTTTTCTGTGTCGTCTGTAAATTCCCATAACTACACAACATTAACTGATGTTAAAGGACGGCTGAGAAAACCTGGTACACTGAACTATAGAATATAAATTGTAAAAATTATCTTTTTCTAATTGTTCATTCTTCTGAAGGCGAACGTATTGGATATAACACCCCAGGTTAGATGTCTTGATACGACAATCTAAACCTAAATAAACAATCGGGTAGGAATGGGTGTGACAAGCGCAACAGTTGTTAGAGAGTGCTCTGAGAAACATGCTGAATGTTATTAAATGTTTCAAATTGATTTGTTTCTTAGTATACATGAGAACAGACACATTTATCATATCTATTTATTTAGCAATAAATTCAAGCGTTTTTATTTACTTATATTGAAAGAAAAATGGTTTGTCAACGAAAGCAATAAAGTTAATAATAAAACATCTAACATTTTTCATCACACCAAGTTAAAAATAAAAAATGTAAACTTATGAAATGTTCAACGAGGAGATCAAAACATGAATAATTTAATGTTGTTCTTTATCATTCTCAAATCTCATTTTACTTTTTTTTCTAACATTAATTTCTTTCCATTACAAGTAAAACAATGATTGCGTTTGTCACATCAATTCCTTCACCACTGTTTGTTTAGGATTAGGTTGTCGTATATATAGATATCTACCTTGGGGTGTAGTATTCAATACACTGACGTTGTGAAATAAAGATATTTGTAAAGAAATAATATTTTCCAGTTTATATCTTATAGTTCAGTGTACCAGGTTTTATTAACCCTTCACATTTTCCTGTTGTCTAGAAACTTGGAAAGTCAGCGATAGTTGATTTTGTGACATTTGGTATTTTAACCCGTTGTGCCATACAGTGTCGAATGTTTTCTCACTTTCTTGTGAGTAGTGGTTTAAGTACTGCTTCAAAAATGGCGTCCTCGGGATCCAGAGGGTGGGGTTAAGGGGAACAAGACCACAAAATACGATGGCGAAACATGTTCTATCGATCCTGTAAACCTACATCTAGGCCCCTATATTAGGCCTAGGTAGGTGAGGTATGTCATATAGATAAGCCTCCCAGTGGCACAGCGGTATGTCTGCGAACTTACAACGCTAGAATCTGGTTTTCGATACCCGTGGTGGGCAGAGCACAGAAAGCCCATTGTGTAGCTTTGTGCTTAATTACAAACAAACAAACATATACATAAGGGGTGTGGTGTCCTCTAGGCCATCCTGTCAAGTTTGATCCTACAAGCTCCAGATTCGCGGGAAGTTTTATCTAGACATACATACATATATATACAAAAGCTGCACATTTAATTAATACAATATAGAACACTCCTCGAGAGTTCAGAGGTGCAATATAACTATAGTGATGTACAGTTAAAAAACAATATTAAAGTTTTCACTAGTTAAAATGGCACTAAAACACTTGAATTATAAAATATAATTCTTCGTTAAATCATAAAATACATCATATTATATGATCAACATTTAACGAAATGTTTTGTACGTTAATTTATCGATATCAGTATATCACTACCTCAATATAATTCTTCGACAGCAGTCGTGGCCGAGTGGTTAAGGCGATGGACTAGAAATCCATTGGGATATTCCCGCGTAGGTTCGAATCCTACCGACTGCGATAATTTTTTTTTGTTTGTAACTTTGATAAACAATGTTGGTTCTGAGAGACAATTCAATTTAAAACATAAATTAACATTCAGTAATAAAGATTCTTACCGTTAACTTCTCCAAACTTTACTTGATTTTAGGGACATGCTACTTAAAAGCTATATTTGACCGCGTTAGGTTTGTGTTCGATAAAAATTAATTGTAGCGTCGGTGATGTTCGTAACGTATGTTCTTGATCATATAATATCTAAAACATAACTATTGAAAATAAAGTTTTATTAGAGAGCTTCAAAGTTATTCTGTTATATCATAATTTGAGTCATTGGACGATTGCATCATCCTAATTTTGTATAAGGTTTACAAGAATGCATTGAGTTAAGTATAAAGTAATGCTTCAGAGAAGGCATTTTTATAATGTTCTTGTTTACTTCCGTAATTCATCTACGTTTTAAACAGGCCTAATCTGTAACTTAGTAAACACTGTTGTTTAGAAACAAAAATAACACCAAATCTAATCTAACATTTATTAGTCATGTCGTATTAATAACAGCACCAATGTGATTTATTAGTTCTTCTATCTATTCCATCCGGGGTTATTTCCAATCAGACGAGACCCCGTATCAAATACTAAGGCACGAGATATCTTTATTAGCTACTAAGCCATAATCTCAAGTAGGACCTGAGACAGGTGTAGGCAGGGGGAGTGTCTTGTTATTTGGCTGAGATTCCAAATTTAAGTGATTATGGCTCTACTCATCCAATAGAAAGATGGTTGACTCCTTGACTTTTGCCTTTTCACAGAAAGAACCCATATTTATGATTCCTGTAATAATAACACGTCATTAACAAAAGCTTTGGCTTTAGATGCTTCTTCATCTCCCGATTTGCCAAATCCGAAACAATAGGTACCACTTTACCAAGTTACGTGGACTACGTCTGTGGATGAGAAGGAATATGACAAACACGAGCAATGTGACCACGTTACTGACAATGAAAACGTTTTAATTGTGTCTTTGTACATATAGCCATCATTCAATCACAGGTTAAACACACAAAGTTGGTTATCATGTCTATCTTTAACAAACATGGATTACACACACGTAGTGGTTATCGTACCTATCTCTAACAAACACAGATAACGCACACATAGTTGGTTATCGTGCCTATCTTTAACAAACACAGATTACACCACACATATAGCTGGTTATTTTGGCTATCTTTAACAAACACAGATTACACCACACGTAATGTAATGGGTAATTGAACTGCGGACAGAGAGAGACGTATTGTTGAGTCGAGCACGTGAGACGTTCGTTGTGAGTTATAGCGTTTGTTATAGCATGACTGTAAAAATTAAGTGTATTGCAAAGTTGTATTCAGAAAGAATAAACCAGTTTTATTTAAGAAAGGACTTGTATCGCTAAAGTTTCTTCGGAAATAATTTTTACGGAAAATTAACTAACGACCAGAGACGTAACAATATTCTAAAACAATTCACCCAATTATTGTTCACTAAATAAAATTATTAAATAAATACGTCATAATAACGCCTTTTTCAAAGGCGTAACTTTCATACGTAACTTATTATTAAATAATTTATTTTACAGTTATGATGATTCAATCATCCAGTGAGTCAAAGTAACGCTGTAATGAAAATATTTTCTTAGATACTTAACAAAACCTTACTTTTGTTTGAGGTCTTTTAGTCCATTTGTACATTTTCAAGGCTTATAATAAATAAAAGTTACTATAATTAAGAAAATATTAATAAATTCATCGCCATAATAATATTTTTTTTAACAACAAGGAAAAAGTAAACTAACGCAGTCGGTAGGATTCGAACCTACGCGGGAAAATCCCAATGGATTTCGAGTCCATCGCCTTAACCACTCGGCCACGACTGCTGTATGAATGTTTAATAAATATTGTCATGAAACCTTCTAGTAGCCATTCAAGAATGAAGTAACAAGTGTTTTATAGTGGTCAACGAAATTAATTTTTTTTTGCATATAAAAATTCTCTATTACCACAATAAATATTACTAGCAGAGACACGCAAAACATTTCCGGCCAAATTAGTATCTTTATCGTAACAGTACTTCTTTAAATATAACACTTCTAGCACAATACAATATGTCAGGCCTAAGTTCGATAAAGAGATAAATTAACACTGTAACCTGTGTAAGTTTTTTTTTTTTTACTTTAGTTTAGTTAGGACTAAACTTTACTCTACTTAATATTATCGATAAATAAACTTATAATGTTATTCTACGACCTAAAGTCAAACCTTTTTTTAATCTTTGATAAGTTTTTATGTTCTGTTGTACAAAATGGTTAATAAAGTGTATTTACATTGCCCTATTGTTGTTAAAAGCTGCAAAGCTCAGTGATCAAGTCGCTACAATTGCTGTATGAAACAAGAAGGGGCTGCTGCAGGCAAACTGTTTGTCGTCGAGTGAATAATGCGCATGCACGGTTTTTCTTGGAGAAACTTTCTAACTACGTATGGTTATGCAGCAGGTTCTCGGCCAAAAAGCATAACGGTCGTACATACAAACAAGCAGAATAATAGTATAGATGTTTTTTTTTAAGATATAAAATATACACGCATAAAATTTTCGAATGTTTTAAAACCAAGCTAAAACTTAAGTTTGATCTTTTTTAAATGTGTAGTAAAAACACCTCACTGTGCAGCATTATGTGTCGTTAGAAAAATATTGAACAGTATTCTCCACGGACGCCTTACTCTTCTATGTTTGATTATAGTGTTATCTAACGTTAATGCAATTAATGTTCGATTTTCTATTGCGTTTAGTCACAATAATGTAATTATCTGTATAAATACATTCAGTGTAAGCAAGAGTAACATTTGTTCTTTTTTTTTGTGATGTTTCACTGTTAACAAATGTAGTTCAAACTAACTTACCTCGAGTAGTTACTTTACATCGGAGGAAATGGTAGTAACGTTATAAACATATAACGTAAATAAGAAATTAAAAGTCTTATGAGACAAAGAGCACTGTTTTTACATTGTTTATCAAAGGTAAAAATTTCTTCTTTAATGTATGATAATTTTTGAGAAAGAAAAAACAATATTGAACAACTTTATATTGCAATATTCTACTGAGTTCTTGAAATATTTTTTGAGGAATCTAAGTATCTAACTAATATTTTAACTCCTATTCTGATACGACTTTCTCATTAAATATAA